AAAAGGATTTTCGAATCCGTGAAAGAGAAAAAGAGTATTCGCAATACAAAAATTGTACGTATTTTAGTCGGTAATACAGGACTTTAGGATCCCCTTAATATACGCACGAAAATAAAGTGTTTTCTGTGCATCCAAACAGCTGATGTAGGCTCTGATGGGCTTTATTATTATTTTTTACCGATAGATTCTTTTGAGAGTTCAAACAAAATTATTTTCATATCTGTATCTAGCTAAATTTTTATATGCTTCAACAAAACGTTCTCTTTTCGTGTAATAATAATATACCGCGTTTTTTTTCATCATAATAATGAAAATTCTACTGCGGCGAACACAGTAAGCCATAGAAACAGGAATTTTTCTGCCCAGAAGAAAAATATTTTATATTTGCATTTATTTAAAGTACGAGAAATAAATAACAAAATCTTCCCGCAATCATTTTATAATCAAGCAACTTTGTTGTCGCTTCCTAGCGACGTGGCTATCATAAAGTATATATTACAAGCATGTAGGATGAGATGCAGCGTTAACGTCTCAGGCGAGCAATTTACAGTCGAGTGCAATGTTGCGTTTAATCAGATTTACCAAACGCACGCGTGGAATAGTTTTTAGTCTCAGACGTGCTATCGTTGCTCGTGGACGTAAATTAAAGTCATTCGTACGGCGGACTTTTTACGCGACACTGCGACGCAGCGAGAGGCAGAAAGTACAACATATGAGAGCCGCAATTTACAGAGCGACATTGCACGCTGCGAACTGGCTTTTACGACAACGTCGGTACGAAAGCGTAACTTCCCGGTACCTTCCTCTCCTTTACTCATTTTGCGACACGGTTTAATCGCCAGCGCGAATCGCGAGTCCCTTGAGAGATTAGCCCGGATACCGTCCCCTTGAAGCTCTCTTTAATTTTCACCAACTTTCAATTGGCCAGGTTGGGCTAACAACTGATTAAGCCCTGGCTGGCAACTCGGAGTCGGCTTTGAAAACAAAAAAAAAAAAGAGTAACTCACCGTTCTATCCGGCCGCGCTTTTCGCTTCGTGAGAGAAGTAATCCGGCCGTTTGTCTACGTCGAATCTCCTAGGAAACCAGCGAGATGCTTTAATGTACTTGAAACTCGGGTTTTTATCCCGTTTTTCTCCCCTTCCTTTTTCGCTCTGCCCTCGACTCTTAAATGCGTCCGGAACTTATGCGTAATTAAAATCTAACGATGCAAATCGTCCGGTATCCGGGGTATTCTCGTGAGAGGCGTAAACACTCTAAAGTAGATGTCAGTAAATTCGGTTATAACTTATCCCGTTTTCCGTCCGCGCTCTATTCATTTGGGACTCGTTGTATCTGTTTCGATTTTTTGCAAGCTCTTCTGTACCACAGATTGCTGGTTTATCGTCCATTAAGATCGGTAGTAAATTGTAATTCTGTAGGGAGAGAAAACCGAGAAGCTATTTAACGCTATTTAAACCTACGATGGAAGAATGTGAACTTGAACGATGCTTCGAGGAAAGTTGTAACGATTTATCCAAAAGTTAAATTACAAGAGTAACGTGGTAAGTAACTCTTATTCGACGGAGATGTAAAAGAATAAGGCAAACTGCAGTGGATTGCTTTTCGGCGCGAGAATCGAAAATTTGTAAAAGTCAGGTGTGTCGTCTTATATAAACTGGCGACACGGTGCGCGCTGCCAATCTCTCCCAGTTCCAAGTTGACTTCTTCGCCATACTCCCGCCGCGCTTCGATAAGATCTAGTCACGTTCATTAAATTTTCTCGTACTGTCGGCCTTGCCAAGACGGATGGTAGGGACGTTCTCGAAATAGGTCGCTGAATAAGAGGAAACGTGCAAAGCTTTCTAAAGACAGAAATTGTAATTGTATCTCCAGTATGATTTAATGTAATAAAATATAGCGCAGGCAGCACCTGCAGCACCGAGTAAAATGGCGCAGGCATGACGGAAAATTTAATAATACCATGAGATTTAATAATATGGCCGAGGTTGTGTTCTTTTTCAATTTGTTAACTAAATATATAAAATTAATAACAAGTACATTGAGATATACATCATATTCTTATACTTCATTTAATTTTATGTACTTACAGTTTTTTTTACATATACAATACGTAGCTAGTAAATACAAGAAATTTTTTTATTTAAGTTTTTTTATCTTACTTTAATTTTTTTATATTACATGATGTTAACAACCTAGAAAATAAAAAATGTCAAGTGAGCTACAATAAAAATGAAACGAATTCAATACTTGTTAATGTCACAGTATTATTGGAAGTTTAGTCCATTACAATGTAATGAGCATCTTTTATTGATGTATACTTTCTCCCTATTTTTCTCTGTAATCCATAAATTATATTGTTATTTCTATTTACTGTCATATATTATTATTTCATTTATCCTCTTTATTAATATATCCAATATTACT